AAATAAATAAATAAATAAATAAATAAATAAATAAATAAATAAATAAATAAATAAATAAATAAATAAATAAATAATCCATCGATTTATCGATCCCTTGTGTCTGTTCGTACTGTCCCTAATCGAAATGAAGCTAACGCCGTATTATGTATCTACATTTTTTTAGCATTTACCACATAATCACTCGCTCTATGTTCTTCACGATCGCATCCATCCTTGTTCAGTACACCAAAGACTCGTTCCAACCCTTTGGTTTTCCAAAAGGAAGGTTTGGATTGGGCACGAGCTGGATGATAGGTAAGAATTATTGCATTACAAGACAAACAGATGGATAGGCAGTTAGAGAACCACAGCGGCTAGGACTGGCTGCCAATGCCGAGCTGACTGACAAACTGACTGACAAACTGACTGACAAGCTGACTGACAAAGCGACTGACAACCTGACTGAGAAACGAACTTGACTGCGCAGGAAAAACTGAATCAGAGATTGACTTAGAATTGCCTGTTTTTCTGTCTATCTTTCTGAATGAATGACAGTATGTCTGTTTGTCTGACCAACTGAGAGACTGAAAAAGATTATATGTACTCTTTAATAAACGAGCAGCAGTGTTTTAAAAAACACGATCTGCGAATTTACTGCACTGCTTCAAAAACTTAAGCATAATTCATCTCAAAGCTTTGGTTGACTTAGATGTACGATACCCGTAACGAACATGGACTGTCGTACTTTGATAGACGTTTGTACATCAACGTCATGCGCAGTGAGGGGCACTAGAAGCGATATTTTGTCGGTCGTCGGTGATTATACATGAGACCGACCTTTATGAGGCTCTAAGTCCTCATCGAAACTTGGATGCACCTTTATCTCTGATAAAGTCGTCCTCTTTAGTATTCTTTATACAAAAAATACTAATAAGAATGAGAATTTCTAAAAATATCATTATCATTAGAATTCTTTATACGTAAATAATACTAATGAAGTTGACTTTATGGGGTTTAAAGGTCAATGCACGTGATGTGTATACTCGCTCCAATTGGCCCAAAGGCTCAATAATTATTCATGACTTTTTTAGAAAAGTAGCATATCTCATAAATATTGGTGGATCGAAAAAGAGATATCGATGTATAAATAGCTTTTGAAGATGTCATTCAAAATATCAGTTTTTCTAGGGTTTTCTTACCGTTTTTTAAGGCAACCCTTTTTTAAATCTTTTCTACATTTTTTCCAGGAGTTATCCCTTTTCTCCTTCTGTATTTCACTACCTTAAAGGTTGATAGTACCACTGGTGCAATACGCTGCATCCCAGCCGAAAAGAGTGTGTTTGCCATGCCAGTGTGTATTGCTTTAGAAATGTTCTACATTGCTGGTTTTCCTGTGTTGAGCATGATCTATTACAAGAGCAAAAACCAATTTCAAGATGATGAGATCACCGCAAATACAGTAGCTGGTAGGTTATTGCAATGTGTTTGTAAAAAATAAAGTCAAGTGCTAGCGACTTATTACACGTTATTATTCATGCATTATTAAGGTACCGGGGCTTTCCATGTTTAGCTGGTGCTGCTATTCACAGTATGATAACCAAAGGCCGCAACATTATCACTTTTAATTTCAAGTGTTATTCCCTTACGTTAATGCTTCTCTTTCCCTTTCTCTTTCTCTTTCTTTCTTTCTTTCTTTCTTTTTTTCTTTCTTTCTTTCTTTCTTTCTCTTTTTCTTTCTTTCTTTCTTTCTTTCTTTCTTTCTTCTTCTTCTTCTTCTTCTTCTCAGTGACCCTCCCTCTTAGGCTTTGTACGTTATAAAGATTGCATAGATCCCCCTGCTCTCGTGACTGTGCAGAGATACATAATATTTTTACCTTTAGAGAACTTGCTCATATTTGTACCCATATCTGTCATATAGGTATTGATGACTTTTGCAAGACTAAGTCACGTGACCTGAACTCCAAGTTGTCCGTGTTGCTTATGATCTGTTATTTGCCATGGAGGTTTGTGGTGATATTTGACATGGAATGGGCCTATAATTACTTACCCCTGCACGTGATTATATTTGGCGTGTTGCCCTTGATGTTGAGCTATACTCTGACCATTGCCTTCCCTTTGACGTGTGTAATGGTTGAGAAGGGAATATTTGAACTTACTGCTTGCAAAATCAGTGTAGCAAAGAAACCTAGGAAGGGATCAAATGATCAGCTACAAAAGAAGGGGCTTATTTAATATTCACGAGTATCATGCGTAGCAACTTTATCTGTCTAGAGGATTTTTTGTAGATTACCAGTCACGCGATGGCCTTAACAATTTTATTATTTTCATGTCTTGCCTCTGAAAGTAGCTAGGGACACCAACAGTAATCTCCCAAGACCCCACACTTAAAACAAAGACCCCACACATAACACAAAGATCCCACACTTAAAACAAAGACTTCACACTTAAAACAAAGACCTCACACTTAAAACAAAGACCCCACACTTAAAACAAAGACCCCACAC